CTCCGCTTGGTTTCCCCGATGTAGAGGAAGCCACACCGGGTACAGCGGATGCAGTATACCACATTGGCAGATGTGCAGGTGAACATCTGCTTGATGTGGAAAGTCTTCTTGGGGCCTGGGATGGGGGTGAGGGAGGAGGTATGGGGGCAGGTGTAGCACTTCCTGCGGTTGCAGCAAAAAGTGCTGGGTGTGGTGGGGCTGGAGGGGAGTGTGGAGCGGACAAGGAAGTCACGGAGAGAGTGGTCCTTCCGGAAAGCAGATAAGGGTGGGGAGGGAAAGATGTCTTTGGTGGTGGGGTCGGATTGCAGATGGCGGAAGTGTCGGAGGATGATGCGTTGGATCCGGAGGTTGGTGGGGTACGTGAGGACGAGGGGGATTCTTTTTTGGTTCTTATTGCGTGGACGGGGTGCGAGGGATGAGTTGCAGGAGATGTGGGAGACACGGTTGAGGGCGTTCTCGACCACCGAGGGGGGGAAGTTACGGTCCTTGAAAAACGAGGACAACTGAGATGTATGGGAGTGGAATGCCTCATCCTGGGAGCAGATGCGGCGGAGGCGAAGGAATTGGGAATAGGGGATAGCATTTTTGCAGGAAGGTGGGTGGGAGGAGGAGTATTCTAGGTAGCTGTGGGAGTCGGTGGGCTTGAAATGAATGGTAGCTGTGGGAGTCGGTGGGTTTGGTTCACAAGTTTCAAAATCTCCCCTCCCCCTACCGCATCCCAAAACCAGTCCAGCTAGTCCCTGCCTCCTTAACCTGTTCTTCCTCCCACCTATCCCCTCCTCCCACCTCAAGCCGCACCTCCATCTCCTACTGACCAACCTCATCCCGCCCCCTTGACCTGTCCGTCTTCCCTGGACTGACCTATCCCCTTCCCAACTCCCCACCTACACTCACCTTTACTGGCCCCATCCCCGCCTCTTCGACCTGTTTGTTTCCTCTCCACCTATCGTCTCCTCTATCCATCTTCTATCCGCCTCCCACTCTCTCCCTATTTATTTCAGAACCCCCTTCCCCTCCCCCTTTTCTGATGAAGGGTCTAGGCCCGAAATGTCAGCCTCTCTGCTCCTATGATGCTGCTTGGCCTGCTGTGTTCATCCAGCCCTGCACCTTGTTGTCTCAGTGTATTCAGTCTTTTGTTATAACTCAAATCTTCCATACCTGACAACATCCTGGTAAATCTCTTCTGAACTCTCTCCAGTTTAACAATATCCTTCCTACGACTGGGTGACCGGAACTGGACAGAGTACCTCACTAACGTCCTATACAACCTCAACATGACTCCCCAACTTCTATACTCAAGGGACTGAGCAAAGAAGACAAGCATGCCAAATGCCTTTTTAACCACCCTATCTATATTTGATGCAAACTTCAAAGAATTATGTACCTGAACCTAGTCTCTCAATTCTACAACACTACCCAAGGCCCTAACTTTAATTGCATAAGCCCTAAACTTGTTTGTTTTGCCAAAATGCAGTACCGCGCATTTATCCAGATTGAACTCTATCTGCCAATTTTGAACCGCTGCAGCCCACATGCTGTAGGTTGATCCACAATGCCCTTCGGGAGGGAATTCCAGGTAAAAATTGAGGTAAAGGTCCAGAAAAAAACCTATTCCTGCCTCATTAACCTCTTGAATGTTGCGTCTTCACCAATTACAGATACAGCTCCAAACACCAGTTTCAGGGAAACATCAAAAATCCAGTCCAGTGTAAAGAGAACAGTGACACAGTCTGAAATTTCTTTGTCAAGCGTCTCCTCATTGACTCAACATGGTGAGACACCCGAACTGATTCTTCACAAAAAGGCCTACCATATCATCTTCCAATCAGGCCATTTAGAGGGCAGTGGAAAATAATTTTCTGAAATCAAGCAAGAGTTCCCAACAAATCAGAAGCTGACAGTTTTCTCACTGGACGGCTCCAAAAAAGTCCTTGTTGCTGCTGGAAGGAAAACCAAGATTGCCATGACAATGGAGCAACTAAGTGTATTTGGAAAGGGTTTCTGAAGGTGGGGTTAGTGGGGAGAAAGGAGAAGGAGAGTCAATGCAAGAGTAGGAAATGGCCTCAGTTGCTACCCTACTGTCCTATATCCAGTCTCTTGATTATGCACAAATCTGTGCAAATTGAGGGATCCCTCCCCTCAACGGACATGCTGCCTCACTTGTATACCAGCTGGACAGGCTATGTATCCCACCTAGAGATAAGTTCATTGCAGCCAGGCAGGAATTGGCCTTTAAGTGATAGTGAACTGACTGGCAGTGGAATGGGAAGGTCAAGCATGGCCGTTCTTACCCTGAAACGCATTGAGGCAGAGGTGGGATAGCAGCGGCGTGCAGGTACACCACCATTTCACCTAATTAATTTGCCTTCCAACCTCCAAGTCCACCTTTTCTGTCATCAGAAGACTCTGACCGCAATATAGTGCTTCCTTACTCCAATGTCATGACCTTTCTCCAGGAGTAATAGGTGTTGATGAATGACTTTATTCATGAAATTTAGGCCTCTTTAAATTCAGCAATAGATGGACGGCAGAATTTGTTTTTGTGACTGATGAAAGATTGATGTACAGTTTAACTTTTAATTAGTCTGTACCTTTAAATAGGAATAAATATCAATAAATAAATATAAAACATAATTTATAATAGAACAGGAATATCTTTCAAATAGCTAATTTTCCATTTCTATAAACAATAAATTAATTATGAATTGTTGAATTTACAGCTCCATTGCCAATAGCTTTGAGGGACTTAATATGTTGTCCTAAAAAGCCTTCAACAATAAAGACTTAAGAGTATGTGAACCAGAGGAGATGCCTTTGATAATAATTATTCTTAATGTAAAATTAAACTTTCATTTTGTTCAAAAACATAGCAGTATTGTCATTATCATTAAATATACAGATCAATTAGTTGTCAATAAAAGACTAACCAAAAGTTGTTACTACTTTTCAAAAGTACAGAACTGTATTGCAGTTTAGTGAAAGATCACATAAAGTTGAGTGATGTGTAAAGGTCAAATGATGAAGTCACTATGCCTTGTGGTGTCTATTTTCCGAGTTTTTCTCCAGAGATTTTTTGAATGTTCTAAACTATTTAATCTTTATGACATTTTGATTTTTCAGCTGTTATTCAAAACATATTATGTTGCTAAATTTTAGATTTTATTATCAGAAGTAAAAAATATTTAAAGTCTTTATATTAATACTGCTTATGTACGCATTTGTGAAAAAGCCTTTAGCGCATTCCAAAGTTCCTTCAAATATTTTTAACTCATTGAGGTAATGGAGATGTTTTTAGATTTATTTTGCTGAAGTAAAGCGTTTTGAAAACATTTTAAGCTGTTGAAAATATAGTGAATTGAGCCCTGTGTTCGTTTTGCTGACTTTTTAAAAATTTAACTGGTGAAATATAGTTTATTATTTTTATTAATCTATTCTTTTTTATATTTTTATTGTCTCATGAAGGTGGAGACTCATGCTGAATGCTGTTCCTTTGAAGTCAACAACCATCCTCCTTTGTACCTCGCCCAAAACATCATTTCTGATGTTAGAGCCAGTGAACCTGAGGCCATTTCAATCCGGCAGTAGAATATATTTGAACCAAACTCTTTCTTCAAAAGTGCAATTGTGTACACTTTCTAGCGTGACTCACATGAGTATGATCCAAAGAAGGAAGACTCCTTTTCTTTTGGTCAATCCAAGGGTTATGGACAGCGTGAGAAAGAACTGTGGAAAATCCTGTCCTCTTCCCTACTGTACGTAACCATTATGCTTTTTCATGTGTATTTTAATCCCAAATTTTGTGGACAATTTGAATACCTGCAGTAAGTGTTTCATGGTTTTGAACAAAGGGGATTATTTATTCACATTTCAAAAGTCTAATACTTTGCCACTGACTCATAAAATCTCACACGCAAACACACTCAAGGCAAGCAGTTAAAGAGAATAGTACACTTTTACAAGGAATAGTTTGTAGTTCACATGATTGGCTTGCCTTAGAAGGCACACATTGCAGGCCTGACAAGACATTTTCATTTCTGAAGTGCAGTCTAGGTGTGAATTCATGTCCCAAAGTTATACATCAGTGTCTTTGCAAGATTCTCTCGAAGACATAAACTATCCGTGCATTACAAAGTTAGTTCCTAATAGTCGTTCAGAAAGTTGGTTTGCTGAATTGGTGGACTTGAGTGGGAGCAGCTTCGGAGACCTTGAGTTGCACTGTCTGGTTCTTGAGGCATGGGTATTGCTGCTCTTATTCTGCTGCTGTCTCTCTGTAACCAGCACTTAAAGCTTTGAAAAAGGAGGGTAACTGGCCTGCCTTACTAAATGGTTTACCACAGTTCCATTTTCCAAATATGGTGTTGGAGTTTAAGTTAATTAGCCACAACCTTGGTTATTATTTGAAGATGTTTATTCTTCAGGCTTTGAGACAATCATTATTTCAGAATGACCTATTTAAGTCAGGAAATAACTTTTGGATGGTCTTAGGAGATGGATAGTGACGGCTCTTGGACCGATTCTTGACCATTACTTTGTCTCCTGTTTGCAACCTTTACAACTATCATTGCCTTCTGTTTTATGACACCTTTGATTTCTTGCTCTCTAAAACTTTCCCTCATTTATTTTTTCTTTTTTGTTCCACTTGCCTCTTCCCTCTTTTTCAACAACAAGTGTTATATTGGATTTGAAATGTTAACTTTGTATCTCTCTGTGCATGTACTGCAGGACCTTCAGAGTTTCTCCAGCACTGTGTCTTTATCTTAAAGATCACGACACCAATATCTACAGTATTTTGCATTTGTCATTTGTGATACCTTCTTTATGTGGAAGGCATCCTTTTTACTTTCAAGACAGTGTGGCAGTTTTGAATTCACATACCAAGTCAGGTGACCTTCCGTGGCCTCCTTTGCAGCCCATCATTGTCCATCTTTAAAAGAAAAGTTAATTAATTCCATAAGATTCTACACTGAGTACAATTCATGTTTTTAAAGTTATCACCATGAAACGCTTTTTCTGGCTTGGCTAATTAAGGGGCCACAAGCACATTTATTTAAACAGGATGTTTTATATGTGGTGCTGTAGTTGACTGAGATCAGCTAATGTGACACTTATATTTTAGGACATATTTGAGATCTTCCTGGCCCAAATCAGTTAGCTACAGGGCTTTCAAGCAAGCCCCAATCTGTATTATTTTAATTTCAGGAAAACATGATAACATAATGGAAGGTAATCAGTCTTCCATCCCTTCCATTGTACCAAAACAGCTCTCATCAAAGTGACATATGATATCTTATGTGACTATCACAAAATTAAGCTTTTCTTCCTTGTAACTAACATATCTGCAGTGTTTTACTTAGTTCACTGCACCGTCCTCCTTCAGACCTTCCATTGCCGAAAAGCTGGATGGCACTGCTGACGTCCGGTTTTATTCTTAATTATTCTCATATATCTGATTGCAAGCGATACTGGTTACAATGTCTTCTCTTCTTTCTCGTTCATCTTCACCTCTGCTGTCTCTTTAGGATCCACCCTTGGCCACCTCTTATTTCACACCTGCATGCTGCTCCCCAAATCATTCTAAAATACATCAGTTTTCATATCTATGCTAATGACATCTAGCTCTACCTCACTGTCACCTCCCACTCAATCCCTCCATATTTACTGAATTGTTAAAGTGCTTATCTGCCATCCAGTTCTGGATGAGCAGAATCTTTCACCCATTAAATATTGGGAAGATTGAAACCATTGTTTTGGATCCTGCTCCAAACTCTGTACCATAGCTACTGAGGTTAGCAAACTCTCTCTGTCTGAGGCTACATCAGACTAAGCACAACCTTCCACTGAAAGTGCCCCTGAGATGAGCTACTGTTCACATAGTTACACCATTCATAAGATGACTACTTTCCAGCTTTGGAAAATCACCTGATTTGTCCTGCTGCTGAAATTCTTACTAATACCTTCATTACCTGCAGTCTCAACTCTTGCAACACAATTCTGACTGATCTCATTCTCGATTGTAAATTTAAGTCATCCAAAACTCTGCCTGTGCTTAAATTTGCAGCAGCTGTCATTCACCTATCAGCCAAGTGCTCAATGACCTACATTGACACCAATCAAGCAATGTATTGACTTTCAATTTTTCATCCTTGCTTCAGAATCCTTCTACAATCATGGCTTCTGCCCATCTCCCTCAGCCCTATAACCTGAACTACTTACGTACTTTTAATCCTGGCCTCATGAGTATCTCCAAATTTGATTACCCCCATCAGTGACTGTGCCATAAATGCCCCAGGCCTTAATTTCTGGCATTCTCTCCCTATACTTTTCCATTTCTTGACATCACTTTCTCTTCTTAATACAACCCTTAAACTTTACCTCTTCAACCAAACTTTTGACCATTTGATCTAATATCTTTTTATCTAACTGGATGTTAAATTATGATTAATAATATTCCTATGAGTGATTTGGAATTAGCCTTTATTGTCACACACACTCTAATGAGTGCAGTGAAAAGTTTGTAATGTTGCCTTTCAAAGTCACCTCAGATACAGAGTACCTAGGTAAACATACTTGATGTTGTCAAAAACTAAGAAATATGTAGGTAAGCATGGGAATAGAGTTTTAAAAATCCAGAATGATGATAAAAAGTACTTAAGTTCTAGTCCCTCTCCAACATGATCTTTTGCACCTGCCAGCCCCAGTACACAAGGCCAGTGCCGGCCACCATCGAGAACTTGTTCTGCTGCCGCTCCGGGACATGACCTGTGCACTCCTCTGCCACTCCAGCTCCAGCCCGCTTGCTCCACCGCTGCTGTGGGACCCGGCTCATGCTTGCTCTGCTGCCGCCACTGGACTCGGGGACATTTTATTACACTAAAGCATCATATAAATATGACTTCCTGTTGCTGTTGAAGTAGTCCAATAACCAGAAGTATTCTGGGTAGTAGTGGCAGGACTCATTTATGTTATCACAATGCTCTGGAGACTTTGCCAATATCTCAAATAAATGTTCGTTGTCGACAAACAAAAACAAAAGAACTGAACTGTTGGAGAACATACTTGGAGAATTTTGAACTCAATGTAAACAGCAGAGAATCTAAAAAAGGAACCAGAATAGGTTTATTGCAAATTCCAATCCCCTTCACCACCAACTCTCCAAGCTACTCAGCAGTACTATACATGATCACCTGCTTCTAATCACCCTATCATTCCTTTTGTGTTCCCAGGGGCCTTTGTAGCAGATAAACACACAGTTAGAGAAACTGGAACTATTTTGCTGAATAATTTCAGAAGTAAGGGGAAGACCGCATGTGAAAATGAGAGATTAGAAAAATATTCAACAATTAAAATTCCTTCATTATTGGAACTATACAAAAAAGAAAATAAAACATAGGAATTTGTTTAAAATAGTCATAAAACGAACAGAAACATTTTCAGAGAAAGTAACAAAAAAAGGCTTTGGAATTAGAATACAGAAGCCACTTTTCAGTCAAGAAATAGTCACAGAAGAATCCAAAGATCGCCTGTGCTCCCATTCACTGACCAGAACAGCATCTCCAAGGCAACATCAGGAACCTGGATGCTTAATTGCAGAAGCTTTCTGGCTCTCTGTAATCAGGGAACGCTTCTTGTGTAAGAGTTGCTAGTTGCCTTTAAGTAACAGAAGTCATTCTCGATTATTGATGCTTCATTAAATAGGCACATAAATAAATATAGCAATTGGACTGTTGGAATGGTTGAATCATTGAACTGTCAGCATGTGAATCTTGCACAAATGTGAATGCACGCACCATCACCTGTTGCAGCGTGTTTTATGGTGCAATTGAATTCTATTCCAGAATGTCTTTTCTCCTGTCAATTGCCTGCATTGGCCCTCCAAAACAGCATTAGAGGATCTGACTGCCCTTTGTGCAGTTGCTGAGGTTTCCAGTATTTTCTGTTGCCTGCAGACACAGCTTAGCTTCTTTGCTTTCAAAGTTGCTGGCTACTGTAAGCATCATCCATGATGCCTGATATTCTGCCCACCCTAAATCAGCGCACTGCCAATAAGTAACACCACTAGCTGCACGTGTCCCAGTATGATGAGGCTCCAGTACCAATTTCACATCATTGCTGCAACAATATGTATGAACACATGCTGCAGGAGGCACTCTGCTCTCAGCACTCCATAGGGCTATTTTTGGGAATGGTCAAATTCTTCAACCTGTTTTCTCTTGTTCCAGAAATTTTGCTTCCTCCATTACTTTCCAGAAATGGTGAATTATAATTTTGATCATGCGTTAATAATGTTTATTCAGACTTTGAACAAGATCAATCAGTAACACGGGCCAAACAATTTGGAACCCTGTACCCTGTCTGTGTGCTGGCTTCCAGAAATTAGTTAATGTGTAACTATCATTGAACCAAACCCATTTTAATCGATCCGAATTCTATCTAATCTAAGTTATGAGCACTCCAATGATAATAGAGCAGCTCATCTAACAGATTGCAGTTTTGTTTCTTATGCTTTGTCAATCCAGACTCGTGTTTAATTAGGCAACAATGAGTAATGACTGACACAAGTGAATTATTGTGGCCTTGAGGCATCCATGTTCCTTGTGTAAGTAGCTTCTGTGAGGTGGCAGTCCATATTTTATTTATTGAGGCAGCTGCTTCATAGATTTTGTCTGCCTTTCAGCTCCACACTTCTGATCTTTGGTCACCGGTGTGCAGGGGGATAAGCAAGAAAGACGAACTTGTTGTTAGCCAGCTCCTAGACGTGGCCAAGATGTCCATTAATAAGTTCGGGCAATCAGCGGTTGAGGAGGTCAATCGGATTGACTGCCTGCTTATGCACCACACCTATGTTCATACCTAGGTGACCCTGAAGAGGGTGTTCATGGTGTCCACCAGTAGATTTAAGGCCTTTCACAACAGGTGGGGACTGTACGAGCTGCAGTCCAAAGAATGTTGTTTTAATTTATATTTAAGTTTCCTTTGAAGATTTGTTTTTTTGTTACAGACCCTCTTTGAGGGATTGTCAGTTAATTTGTTTAATTGGTTTCAAAAGTGTACAAGTTAATTATTTTATGGGTATTCTAACATAGTGGAAGTGTACCTACCTTTGGGGCTGGAAAACCTGGTTTCAAATCTCACCTGGTCCAAAGGTGTGTAATAGCCAATCCGAACAACTTGATTAAAATATCTAAATTTTGTTTTAATCATCTTCTATTCTCTAAAGAGCATAAAAAGCCACAATTACTTATAGAGACACTTGTAAAAAGATATAAGATCAATATTATAATGTCAGTTTTAGGTACAGTAGCGTATTGGTATCTTACTGGGCTAAAATATTCAGAGGCCTAAACAATAGGGTTAGGGTTCGTAGACCTACATACAGCACATGAACTGCTGCAGTTCTAAAGGCCCAGCCAGCTGTGCCCATGTCCCATGAGTGAATAAAAAAATGAGTGCATATGAAACCAGCATTGCACTCGATCCCATCAGTTTACTCACTTCATATTGGTCCCAGCAGCTGAAGTCTCTTTGAATAACAGAAAGATCCCCTCTAATACTTCATTCTGTAAGTATTTGAGATGCTGAATGACCTGCTAATTTCCCCAATTCCCAACATGAAATTGCAAACAGGTTGAACTACTATAGCCATTTTATAAAGGCATATTGTGCAATAATGACGACAAGATGCAGGAGCAAATACAGGCAATTCAGCCAATTGAGTCTGCTCTGCCAAAAATAATAAAAGGGTAAAAATTGAAATCACTGTATTTGAATGCATGTAGCATTTGTAACAAAACAGATGAACTCGTGCTATAATCTAACATAAATAAGTATGATCTAGTGGCCATTTTGAGATGTGGCTGCAGGATGATGGAGAATGAAATGATTGTTGAACGGTTTGTGACATTTAGGAAGGACAGGAAGCTGGGAAAGGGAGGATTGGCCCTCTTAACTAAAGATGACATTAACACAATAGAGAAGGATAATGTCAATTTAGTAAACGGTGATTAAAAGCACTGTGGGTAGAGCTCAGGAATTATAAAGGCAAGATGTCACTTGTGGGAGTTGCGTACAAGGCAGCACATGATAGCCACATGGTACTACAGGGTATCAAAGAAGAAATGAACAGAAACAGAAGTTGTTGGAGAAACTCAGAGGGTCTGGCAGTATCTGTAGAAAGAAACAGAGTAAAGCTTTGAGCCCAATAACCTTCATCAGAATCGGCAGTAACTCAGAAAAACATGTATTTATGCTCACAATAGGGTTGGACAGGGTGAAAGGGGTGAGTGGATAGGTGGAGACAGAGCCAAGAGGGAGAGAAAGAAAATGGGGTAGGCTGGAGTAATTTAAACAAGGTCAGCCAGATGACCCTCATAGAATATGAGTTCCCTGATTGGCACTGTTAACCTGGTCCAATTGGGGAGACTTGGCTGGCGGATATAAACAGGAGAGTCAGGGGTTCTGCCGTCTCTAGGAGCCAGCTGTGAGCTCGTTTGATCAGTGTCATGTTCTATGCATGTGTAAATAAAGGATGGCTTGGTAATGGGATACCGGCCTTCGTGGAATTACTTCAGTGGCAATGAGAGGAAAACATGCCCCTGAAGAGATTTGCTCGCAACAACCATCTTTGAGTTGGGGTAAGTATTTCTGACATCACCCCACTATTTGGGAAGTTTGACTTGATCCTGCCTTCGAAGACTGTGGCCTGTATGTTGAAAGAACGTTATTTTTTCAGGTCAGATGACATTAGGGCAGATGAAAAGCAATGAGTAATTCTCCTGACAGCGTGTGGCCCCATAGCTTTTTCTGTTATCATGAGCCTAAATTTCCCTGAGGTATTAGGTTCTAAAACTTTTCAAGAGTTGATGGATTTAGCTAAGGAATATTATGACTCCAAGTCTCCTCTAATTCTGAGATGATGGTGGTTTTACTTGGTAGCTCAAGAACCAGGGGAATCTGTATCGGGATTTTTGACGAATTTAAGATGACTGGTAGAGACTTGTGATTTTTGTTTAACCCTAAGTGAAATGCTGAGAGACCATTTGGTATGCGGGATTAATGATCTGACCATGCAAAAGCACCTACTAGCTGAATCCCAACAGGATTTCAAACAGGCACTACAATTGGCTTCGTCATTAGAAAATGCGGCAAGTGGAGTATATGAGTTACAAGGTACGCCGATGGAAGTGGACATTTCGCCAGGCTGACTGAGCTTGGAGAACACCACTTAAGTGAAGGCAATTGCATAGCCTCACTCAGGACATACCCTGAACAGAGGGACTCTAGGTCAGCCTGCAACAAAACCCCAAAACAAAGCCAAGCCTCAGCCGAACAGTTAATTTTTTCTCAAGGATCAGGACCAGCGAGCCATTGTAGTTCCTGCCGATATGCAAACTCGAGATAACAAAAGAATCCCACTAGGCCTGAAAAGAGTGAGAGACCTCATAGGCTGGTATCCAAGAGAGTGCACACCCTGGAAAGTCCACCTATATCTGGTTTGGAACTGTTAAATTGCTTAGCAACATCCAAATCAGAACCAATCAAAATAAATGTCTGTTTAAGTGGTCACCCAGTTCTAATGGAAGGCGATACTAGCATGGCTGTATCAGTGATTGTGGAACAAGTCTTCAACAAAATTCCCTCTGGACTCCAACCCTTAAGTTTGTGTAAGACCTTGGCCAGGCTGAGAACCAATAATGGGGAACCCGTACAGATTAAGGATACAATTTTGGTTCCAGTCTCTTATGAGAAGCAGCTGGTTCAATTACCATTATTGTCATAAAAGGCTCAGGCCCAAGCTTGATGGAGTGAAATTGGTTGAGAAAGATTCCACTTGATGGGCTCAACATTTTTTGATTAGAAAATGGTTGTCTCAGTGAAGTCTTAATTAAATACCCGGAAGTCTTTCAGGAAGGTCTAGGGACTATCAAAGAGGCCAAGGCCACCTTACATGTTGACCAAGAAATAGTTCCATGATATTGCAAGGCCTGCCTGGTGCCATTTACCTTGTGTGCAAAAGTAGAGGCAGAAATCAGGAGGCTGGAAAGTGAAGGAATCATCAAACCACTGCAGTTTGCGGAATGGGCAGCACTGCCAATTGTGAAGCCCGAAGGCTCAGTTAGAGAGCCATAAAGATGTACAGAACGGAAACAGACCCTTCAGTCCAACTTGTCCAGGCTGACCAGATATCCTAATTTAGTCCCATTTGCCAGCCTTTGACCCATATCCCTCTAAAGACTTCCTATTCATGTACCCATCCAGATGCCTTTTAATTGTTGTAATTGTATCTGCCTCCACCACATCCTCTGGCAACTCATTCCATATGCACACCACCCTCTGTGTGAAAAGGTTGCCCATTAGGTCCGTTTTTAAATCTTTCCCCTCTCACCTTAAACCTGTGTCCTCTAGTTTTGGATTCTAGTTCTCTCTCCACCAATCCTTGCTGAAATAGTATGACTGGTTACTGTCTGCGTGACAGAGTTGTACGAGCAAGTTAATAGTTGGATAGGATATACTTGTGTAATAGATGTTTGACATGAGAAGATACATTATTTCAATGTAATTTATAGCCTGTTGTTATCACTCTAAAATGACAGTCCTGTACTTGCTGTGGCATTACTTACTGTCTCATAGTGCCCCA